AAAATATCCTCTTGTTTGTTTTTCCTTGTGGAAATGCAGATTCTTGGGATCCCAAGGAATCTCTGAGGAGGACCCTTGCTTGGAAGAGCCCTTTGCTGTCAAGATGAGCGGTTGCCAAGAGGCAGGGAGTAGAATACATTAGCATACATTATCCAGCAGGGGAGGGGAAGGCCGGGACAGCCAAGAACTTGAGAACAAGCCATGGGCAAAAAATGATACACATGCGATACCAAGTTAGCAAAAAAAGTGGGAGTTGGTAAATAAAAGCCTATGGTGCCACTGTGTGGTTCAGAGGAGAAAAGCAAGCCCAACACTTTAATGTGATGTTTCCTGATCTCTTCTTGGTTTAAGGAAGGTTTTGGCTTAATATAGAATTTGGAATGTTTCTTACAGCCAGTGCAATGATAGTTCTTTTGCTCAAAATAAATGTGGAAGAGAAATCGGTTTCCTTCCCACCAGGCAGGAGACTCCAAAATGTGGTGAACTGAAAGGACATAACTTGTTACATTGTTTGGAATTTCTGGTTAAATTCCCTTTTTTCCTATGAAGCAGAAGTGCAGAGACCCACAGAGGAGAAGCGCTACAAGTTCCTCAGAGCACTTAATGTCGCAATGGCTTACTCCCGAGACATTGGTAGGAGAAAGAATAAAACATTGTATTGACTCGCAATTGCTTTAAACGGCAGACTTGGGTATGCTGCTTTCTTTCTCCATATTTGATGAGCAACCAACCAAACGGATCAACAGCAAACAAACAACTGCCAACAACAGATTACAGGGGGGGAGATGCTCAGCAGAGAGGTGGGGTTCTTTTTGAATTCGAAATTGGGAAGGAATAATTGGTTAGCATTGAACAGATAGACCCCCCCAGCACAAAAAAGTTCCTCCCAATCACACAGGCAGCATGCGAGATTATAAATGAAACTCCAACACAACTTGTAGTCAGAGATGAGGTGACAGCTTTTAGAAAAAGCACAGCACAGAATCGCATGTGGTCTTGCCGTTTGAGATTCCTGGTTCCATTATAGCTGGTCCTTCTTTTTCAACATGTTGGACTGGGTGAGGGCAGGGTCCAGATCTCATCGGATCCTTATCTTTTGAGGTAGGCCTTGGGAGAGGGGTTCAAATCCCCACCTGGTTGTGCAACTCATTGGCTGGTCCTTCAACCTGACCTACCTACGTCATAGGTTGGTGGGAAGGAGCATAACGTCGGAAGGAAGCGAGAGCCAGGTACCTCGCTTTGAGCTCATTGAAAGAAGGGAGAGTTACAAGCAAATGATGCATCAATAAAAAACTTATTTCTCCTAGTCAGCCTCTGGGTTCCAAAGAACGCCGTTGCAAGCTCAGCGGAATGATGTGGCTTGATCTTCCCACCCTTCTTCCTATGCCACTTTTTGATCAAAACAGCGGCAACGCCTGTAGGCAAACCCGGACCAGTTTCAGAGACTTATGAGCAGATCCGGCCCTACCGTTAGGTGTAATGAGGCAGCTTCCTCGATGGCCAAGGGCAGGAGGCACAACCGCGGCAGCGTGGGAGACCTGTGCGCTCCCCCTGTACTTCCCATGGTGACTTGCCCGCCTTCAGGTAGATTCGAATGGGCAGGTGAACTGCGTGATGGTTGGCCGCCCTAGGTATGTTTGCATCACAGCAGGTGGCCTCACATTTCCTCATACAGTGGTAAAATATTAAAGGTTTTTATAGTGCTCAAAAAAGCTAAAGGATTAACCCTTTAACAGCCAAGCTCCACTTTAAATGGGAAACTGGTCTCTCTTTCCTCTGGATTTCAACACATTTGGGAGAAAAGATGGGCACGAATCACTGCTTCAGCAGTTCGTGTCAGTTTGTCTGTCAGGCAAACAGGTGTTCGGTGCTTCCCAGCCCTGCCTTCTCCAGCAGGCGCCCACTCTGAGTGGGTACCTGCTGGAGGAGGTGGGGCTGGGAACTGCTGAATGCCTGTTTGTCTGAAGGATGAACTCGCACGAACCGCCAAAGTGGTGGTTCGTGCCCATCTCTAGAGTTGTATTCTCAACAGCACATCTGGAAAACATATCTTATTAACCTCTTTCTACATAATCTTCTTATATTATAGTTCTGCATGGTCATCCTTCACAGAGTTTGGAAAAATTACTCTCACATTATTGCATGGTTGCCTGGGGGAACCTTGTGAATCCAAATAGATAATGTTTCTTTTTCCAAGGTGCAGGACTTTGCAGTCATCTCTGTTGAATTCCGTTCTGCTGTTTTCAGCCCAGTGCTCCGGCCTATCCAGATCATTTTGAATTTTGTTTCTTTCTCCCTGGGTATTAGCTAGTCCACCCAGTTTTGTTTCGTCCTTGCACCCCCTGATCCAGGTCATTAATAAAAATGTTGAAGAGCACAGGGCCCAATGCCTAAAAAAAAGAGGCGCCTCTTTGTTGACCCCGAGATCAAAGCCTACACCAAGTCGATTAGATATCATGAGCTGGGCCATGAATCGGCTCAAATCCGGGTGGTGATTTGGAAGTTTGTAAAAATATTTTAGATTAAAAATAAACACCGAGGAGAAAGAACGTTCTGCAAATGTTATCATTCTCTTGTAGAAATGGAAGCTGCTAACAAAAATGTTTTTTCTTTCTGAAAATATCATTTTGTTGTTTAGTCGCTGTGTCCAACTCTTCATGACCCCATGGACCACAGCACGCCAGGCCCTCCTGTCTTCCACGGCCTCCTGGAGTTGGGTCAAAGTCGTGTTGGTTGCTTTGATGACACTGTCCAGCCATCTCGTCCTCTGTCGTCCCCTTCTCCTCCTGCCTTCACACATTCCCAACATCAGGGTCTTTTCCAGGGAGTCTTCTCTTCTCATGAGATGGCCAAAGTACTGAAGCCTCAGCTTCAGGATCTGTCCTTCCAGTGAGCACTCAGGGTTGAGAAAATATCATAGTCACAGGTAAACACGCACCTACCCACCAGGATGTCTTCATCAAAGGGGAACACCCCCCAGTTGGAGAACCAATGGTCTAGCTGTTTGCAATTCTTTTTCCATCATAGCTGGCCCTTCTTTTTATTACTTGGTGGACTGGATGACAGCAAGCTCTGGATCTCATCTGATTCTTACCTGAGAGAGTATGAGAGGTCTGTCTTTTGAGGTAACGGTATAGGTAAAGGTTCCCTGTATTCGCCCCTGTATTCCTACTCCAGTCCTCTGAAGATGCCGGCCACAGAGACTGGCGAAACGCCAGGAAGAACAACCTTCAGAACATGGCCAAAGAGCCTGAAAAACCCACAACAACCAGTAAAGGTTCCCCTTGACCATTTTTGTCCAGTCGTGTCTGACTCTAGGGGGTGGTACTCATCCCTGTTTCCAAGTTGTAGGTAGAGCCAGCGTTTGTCCGTAGACAGTTTCCGTGGTCACGTGGCCAGCGTGACTAGACATGGAACGCCATGACCTTCCCACCATATTGGTACCTATTTATCTACTCACATTTTTACATGCTTTCGAACTGCTAGGTTGGCAGGAGATAGGACTTGGAAAATGGGTTCAAATCCCCACTTGGCCATGGATTCCACTGGCTGGTTTTGGGGTCAGTACAATGCTTCAGCCTAACCTACCTTCCTCACAGGTTGGCAGGAAGGAGCACAATGTTAGGAGGAAGAGAGTCGTGTATGTCAGCTTGACCTTGTTGACAGAAGGGGTTGTAATCAAATAATGCATGAAAAAATAATATTTGCTCCCAATCACTTAAAATGCCTGGGTTCCAAAGAATTCCATTGTCAACTCGGTGGGTTATGTGGATTGATCTTCCCAGCCTTCCTCCTAAGCAGCTTTGCCCGTTTTTGGTTAGAACAGCGACAACACCTGTAGGTAAACCCAGACAAGTTTGAGAGAAGTTTGCAAAAATTACTGTCCCAAAGAGCCCGAAAAACCCACAACAACCAGTAAAGGTTCCCCTTGATATTTAGTCTAGTTGTGTTCGACTCTAGGGGGTGGTGCTCATCCCCATTTGCAAGCCGTAGGTAGAGCCAGCGCTTGTCCGTAGACAGTTTCTGTGGTCACGTGGCCAGCATGACTAGACATGGAACACCATGACTTTCCCACTGTATTGGTACCTATTTATCTACTCACATTTTTACATGCTTTCGAACTACTTGGTTGGCAGGAGATAGGACTTGGGAAATGGGTTCAAATCCTCACTTGGCCATGGAATCCACTGGCTGGTTTTGGGGTCAGTACAATGCTTCAGCCTAACCTACCTTCCTCACAGGTTGGCAGGAAGGAGCACAATGTTAGGAGGAAGAGAGTCGTGTATGTCACCTTGACCTTGTTGACAAAAGGGGGAGCTGTAATCAAATAATGCATGAAAAAATAATATTTGCTGCCAGTCCCATAAAGCGTCTGGGTTCCAAAGAACTCTATTGTCAACTTGGTAGATTATGTGGTTTGATCTTCCCAGCCTTCCTCCTATGCAGCTTTGCCCATTTTTGGTTAAAACAGCGACAACGCCTGTAGGCAAACCCAGATGAGTTCGAGATAAGTTTGCAAAAATTACTGTCTCAAATTATCTCATGGCTGGCTGGAGGAATTCTGTGAATCCAAAGAGATAACGTCTCCAAACTCTAATTCTCATTCATTCATTTATTCAATCGATATACCATTCATCTAGCTAATTGCTACTCTTAGCAATGTACAGCCAAAATATAAAACATAAAGGCTATAATTGCTACAGATGCTAACCACTAGCATAAAGAAAAAAACAGCCATTCTTAGACTCCAGAGGCAAATTTCTGGCAAATGATGCCATTTTAGGCCTTGGTTCTGTCACCTCTCCAATGGATACAGTCGGACCATCTTGGAGGAAAGCTTCCCCAGCCTGGCAAGGCTGCTCTTGAGCCAATGTGCAGCAGTTTCTACAGAGTTCCATTTTCCAATCTCTTACCTCTTTGGGACATGTTGAAAAATCAACTCTTTTTGGGTAGACCGCCATTTTGAATCCTGCCTCAAGTCTAGCATCCTCCCACGTCAATCTCAGGTCACCAGCTGGACAGCACTGACAACAATGAAACCTGGCCTTATGTTGTGTCAATCACTGTCAGAAACAGAGAAGATGCGACAGACTTTTCTAGCCCAGAAAACATGTTCTGTGCTGAAAATCTGTGGGTCCAGCTCCTGCTCAGGGCACAAGAGTGGGGCCAAAGAGAAAAGGCGAGCAAGCCTCAAAGCAGCATCGCAGTAGAGCGAGCTTCATCGCCACCCAATTTGGTGCTTAAAGCACTCTTGAATGATGCCATGCCTTGAACATGGTGTTTTTCAGACCGTCTCCCAGAATCTCTTTAAGTTTCTGGAGCTGGAATTTCAAAGAGGATCTTTTCAAAGCTGTGTTGGCAAGGGTTAACCTTCACCCTAGTTGATAAAGCGAAAACGGTTTGTTGATCTGACCTGGGTGGGGAACCAAGCGTTGGAGGAACAACCTGTATGTATCCTTCCCGTGCTCTTTAAAAGCCATCCACCTGAAGCAAATCACCACAGTGTGCGGCTCAGCCATGGCGCACCCTGGCATCGCTGTCCACCTCACAAAGGATTCTCCCGTTACTGCAGCTACCCCCGTCCTTCCTTACCGGGATCAGAATTACTGGGACCTGAAGCGCCGATGTCTTCAAGAGAGACGCCACTTCATCGACCCCGAGTTCAAACCTTGCGCTGAGTCACTTGGATATCATGAGCTGGGCCCCCGATCGACTGATATCCAGGGAGTGGTTTGGAAGAGGCCCAAGGTGGGTCTATTTCTGCTTTGTACCTCTTGCCTAAATTAAATTGCTAGTCCAAAGTAGAATAGATGCACTGAGCAAACTATTAAGTTGTATTCCACAATTTACGTAAGTTTTCTTGTTTCAGCTGGCCTCTTTTTAGAACTGGCTATCAGATACATGTCTCTGCTTCTCTGTTTCAGAAGCATTTCCTAAGAGAGGTACCCATCCTGCAATTAGTCAGTGTAGCTTTGGAGCCAGCCCTGCCATTAGGTTGGAGTGTCACAAAAAGGTAGCAAGATGTTAGTTCTTTAACCTATTATTTCATTGCTAGGGAGAGGGAGAGTTGAGCAGTAAGAGCATTAAGGTGGTTCTACTTCACATGCCAAATACTTGTTTGTCTTTGGGTACAATTATTATATAAATAGATTGATCAATAAAGGCAGAACCTTCGTTGGTGCAAAGGTTGGGGTTGATCATTCCTGCCTGAGTGCAAGGATCCTGGCCCAAATCCTGTTGGCATCGATAAGCAAATGGTGTAACTTTCAGCAGCAAACTGCCATGAGTTAAGAAATCTCCACAGGCATTCTCTGTTGCCCACCGAGTCACAGATCAAAGTTATTTAGTCGTGAGACTTAGCATGCACCACATAATACCTACAGAGATTTCTTAGCCAATGACAATCTGCTGCTGAAGTTACGCCTTTTGTGTAGCTGTGCAACAGGATTTCAGCTCTTGTAGAGAACTTGGAAAAGTTACATTTTTTTTTTTACAATTCCCGCCACATGATAATCATGTGTGTGTGTCTTCAAATCATATGCCAAACAAGTAACTTTCCTAGACTCTAATGTTGTCTCTGAGCACTGGTTACCCCCTCCAACTCTACATTTTCTATTCTTTCAACAGGAGATCTGCAGATTCCCTAAGTTTGTCCGTGGAGAAATGAATCGGATGGATGTCTGCCAAGGGCAGATAGGTGACATTTTAACTGCTTCTCCCTTCTTTCGCTTTATTTCTGCACTGTTATCGTCCAATTTCCGACCAAAGCTTTTCCGCCTTTGATACTTGCAGAAGAGAAACTCAACAGGTGAAGCAGGTGCATGAAAATATTCACCTGTTGGTTTTCTGTCTCTTACAAAATTAAATAGCAGAAGAGCCTAGGCCATTATTTCCACAACAGCAGAAACTCCAGAGATCATAGTTTTGTCAGTGTCCTGTTGATTTTGTTATTGGTTAATTCTAGGCTTGCCTCTTGGGGGGCGGGGGTTAACCCTATCTTCAATGCCTTAAAGAGGAGCCAGCTACATAGAAACTTATCCAGGGAAGTTTAGCTAAGATTACAACTCTATGGCAGGAGGAACTTCCCGTTTTGAAGGTTGTCACAATCAATTTGTTTGTCTTCTTTAAGTTTGTCTCTTTTTTTTAACTATACACTGAAATTGTACTACAGATGCAAACCTAACTGCAAGACACTCTCGGGTTTGTTTTTCCAGGATGAGTCTAGGAAATTTTGCTAGTCTTCCCACACAAAAGACATATTTTCTAGGTTGTTTCAGGTTCGTTGGTATCAATGAACGTTGCGTGTGTTTCTGGCGAAGGGGCTGATAACTCAGCACAGGAATGTAAGCAGATGGGTTTATATATTATCAAACCCCATTTCCCCCATAAATCCTAAATCCATGACGGGACTGTCGTGTTACAGGGCTGATGTTTTCTCTTTGGGCTCCTGTGCATGCAAAAATGCATATTAAAAAAATACTGTTTAAAGGAACACTCTTGGTGGGGATGGAAATGCTCTTCCCAAACCAAAGTGTGTTCAGTCTGTGCATGTAAAAAAATGCATATTTTAAAAAAATACTGTTTAAAGGAACACTCATGGTGGGGATGGGAATGCTCTTCCCAAACCAAAGTGTGTTCAGTGGACACACAGACTACTGGATAAATCAGTGGTTTAGGTCTTTGGCTGCAGGGCCAGAGGCTGGGAGTTCGATTCTCGCTCTGTGCCTCCTTGGTAGGGTCTGGACCAGATGAGCCACAGCGTCCCTTCCTGCTCTGCAGCTCCAAGATGTGGATACTTGATGATGGATGATGGAGTGGGTGCTGGAATTTTTTTTGCAAGTCCTTTGGGACGGCATCCACAACAACTTGGCTTTCTGCCTTTTCCAGGAGACTGCTGGTTCCTCGCAGCCGCTGCCTCTCTGACTTTGTACCCGCATCTCCTCTCAAAGGTGGTCCCCGGTGGGCAGAGTTTTCAAGCTGCCGACTATGCTGGCATCTTCCACTTCCAGGTGAGTGGCATCAGACCGGAGGTCTGGATCCTCGAGGAGAAATGAAACATGGATCTCACCCAAGCTTCTTCCCGCCCCCCCCACCAACCCTCAGGTTTTGAATAATGGGTCACCATGAGCAATGACGCTCTTAGGGCAGGGAAAATCCGAAGCAAACCCCTTTTCTGCTACAGAGAAGATGCCGCGAATGTGGGAATTTTTACCTCTTGCATTTCTCCCAAATACAAACTACGATCATTGTAAGGCGATAGGATTATACATGCTGTTTTCACAGTTCCCTGCTCAAATCAATGGGCAGAGTAAATTCTTGACATTCCAGCAAGAACAAAGAGATGGAATGAGCCAGTAGAGAGCTGGGGGGGAGTACCTTTTTTGGACTACAAGCCCCCTAATCCCCCATGGCCACCGGTGTTCTTGCTGGTAAAAGGAGTCCAGGAACTCCAGTCCAAAATATATCTTTTCCAAGCTTTGGGTCAGGCTAAGAAGGCATCACCACGAGTGAATGTCATTACACCTGTTTTTAACTTCACTGCCTTTGCAGTGTGCAAGGACTTTGGGATGAGGAAAAAGGAAATTAGGAAGGACGTGTCTGAGAAACAGACAGCCCTTTTAAGTCAACAACAGATGGCAACTGTATTTGCCCAAACACTCTGTAGCATGGATTATCAAATCCAGGGACAAATGACAGTTGTAGGAAATGAACGGGGTACACCGTTTGTTTTTCTTCTAATCATCCCAAAGGGTCTGGTCACAATTGAAACACCTTTCAAACCTGTTTGGGTTTTTTTCCAACAATTGAAACCTTACCAAACCTCCTTAGCATTCACAAATTAAGTTGGGGGGGGGGAGGAACCTTCCAAACCTGTTTAGCATTTGCAAATAATGCGAAACCAAAACCTACTAAACCTGTTTATGCAGTGAAGACTAAAGGTGGATGACGTAGCAATGCATGAATCCTTCTTTCACTCCCTTTTCAACATCTCTGACAGAGGAGATGCAAAATCTGTTCCCAGCCAGTCCCTGTCTCTGATGTTCACTCCAAATCCTCTCTTGACTCCCCAGTTCTGGCAGTACGGGCAGTGGGTAGATGTGGTTGTGGACGACCTGCTGCCGACAAAGGACAACAGGCTACTTTTTGTGCGAACACCCACAGACGATGAGTTCTGGATGCCTTTGCTGGAGAAAGCCTATGCCAAGTGAGTGAGACCTCGTTATTTTACGTCAGCAGCAGAGAACGCTTACTTCTTTTGGCTGCGGTCGCTCAGACCTTGGAAATGTCTCTTTTTTCAAAAAAAAAAAATTGCGGACAAAAAAGGGAAAGGAACATAGGCAGAAAAAGAAGCAGTAGTGGCCATTCTGGTCAGGATTATCCTGGGTCCTGTCGTCCAGAAAACTAACATTTCCAAGGTCTGACCTTGCTATGCCATGAATTGCAACATATTCTTTAGCTTCCTTTTGTTGTTGTTTAGTCGCTTAGTCGTGTCCGACTCTTCATGACCCCATGGACGAGAGCACGCCAGGCCCTCCTGTCTTCCACGGCCTCCCGGAGTTGGGTCAAGTTCATGTTGGTCGCTTCGATGACACTGTCCAGCCATCTCGTCCTCTGTTGTCCTCTTCTCCTCTTGCCTTCACACTTTCCCAACATCAGGGTCTTTTCCAGGGAGTCTTCTCTTCTCATTAGCTTCCTAAAGGGTCCTTATTTATTATACTCATCTCTGGTTGACCTTTTCCCAGAGGCTGACCAGCAATGTAGCTTCTTAACCCCTTTATTAAATAATAACTGAGCGCCACCAAATATTTCTGCACGCTGCTCTCTATTCATTATTCCTCTTCCCCTCTGCTCTCCCTTTCATCTTTCTGGAAAGGCTGAATGGCTCCTACGAGGCTATGAATGGCGGATACATGAATGAGGCTTTTGTGGACTTCACGGGTGGGATTGGGGAGACCATCCCCTTAAAGACACCCAACCTAAAGCTCTTCAAGACCATCGAGGCGGTGCTGAACAAGAGCTCTTTGATGGGCGCATACATCAATGTAAGTGCAAGGAAACCGTGCGTTTCAGGAGCCAAGCTAGATAAGAAGCCAGTTTCACAGTTAGAAGGTGACAGGATGTTGTCTCTCCAGTAAGCTGTTCCTTCAAAGCTGTGTACAATCATTTGCAATTGGACTTGCAAATGAAGTCTGTGTTTACCTCTTGGTGACCAATCCTAAGCAGAACCAGGCTATTTTTGCAATATGCAGAGGTGAGGAAAAACTCATGCTAGGATATACAGCTCTGAAGAGTGCTACGCTTCTGATGACACGTTAACTGTATAATCTAGTTTGACCTTGAGAAGTGCTAATATCTGCTGTGTCTTGCAGATGTTGGGTGATGCCTCTGTTGAACTAGCCTTTTTTTTTTTAAACTCTTTCTTTTTCCCCTGGTGCCCATGAGTACAAAAAGAGAGCAATCTGTGAGCTATGCTTAGGGAATCGTCAAAAATGAAGAGTGGCTGAATCTGAGGATGTCACTCCTTCCCTTTTCTCATGATTAGTAGAAAACAGAATGCATTTTTGGTATCTATATATTTACAATATTTATACCCAGTTTCTCCAAAGGCTGAGACACCGGTTTATGCCTATCAGATTCAGACAAGGATTTCTATTATCTATCAAATTGTACGCCTGGCCCTTCCGTTGTTTCCACGTATGACGGCTGCTCCTAGGGGCTTCGTTACTCAAATATAGCGCTCGGTTGAATGCGTGCCACTCTTAAATCCTCTTACCTGGAAGCTTGATAGAGAAGTTGGACATTGTTGGTGGGAAAACAAAGCCAGAGGTCATTCCCAGGGCCCAAGAATCCAGAACCATTGGTCAAAATTCAAATGAATGTCGTGGCATCGGGCAGAGGAAAAGATGTCGCTACATTTAGCTTTCCAGTCTGTGTATGCAGACATTTGAACAAGCAAGCACAGAGAGCTGGCCCTGTCATTAGGTAGGGTGAAGCGACTGACTCAGGCATCGGGTTTTTGGAGTTGTGAGAAGGCTTTGATGAACACACTATTTGTGCATGTTTATTTCCAAGGATGAGACCTGGTAGCACTTACGGGTGTTTCAGATTCCAAAATAACTTGGATAATATACACCTTGACTTGACTATATGTGTGTGTGGTGCCATATTTTTGTCCTCCACAAGCCAGCATGGATGAAGCCCTCAAGGGATTGATCTTGGTGTGAGAATACCCACAAGCAGCCTTATTTGCTTCTTGAAGAGAAGGGAAACTGCCCAAGGTAACACACATACAGTATTATGAAGAAGGGAAACTACTTCTGAGTATTCTCTACCAGGAACACTCTGAAGATGGTCACCATAAGTCAGAACCAACTTGATAGCGTATTCTTCTTCTTCTTCTTAAATACCAAACCCAGCCAATCAAAATTATAAAAATATTGACTGATATTATATAACAAATGCAAATTTTAACCTAAAACCGAAGAATCTGTTATTCTTCTTCTTGTTGTTGTTCTTTTGTAGGCAAATGTGGGTTTTTTTAAATCCACTCACTTCATTCCACAAATAACACATAATTACAGGTGTAATTGTGCTGCCTGTTCTGGTTGCTTTCAGGTTACGACCTTCAATGACAGGGAAGCACAAACGTCACAGGGGCTGGTGAAAGGGCATGCTTACTCCATCACTGGAATCCACAAGGTAAGGCCTGCAATACCCCAGATCACAGAAGCATAGAGCTGAAAAGGATACCAAGGGTCATCCAGACTCACCCCTTTTCACAGAAAGAAATGCACAGCTTGAGCATCAGCTACATCTCCCAAAGCAGCATAAAGGTGGGCCAAAAAACTAGAGGAAGCCTTGAGGGGGTGCCATGGAAATATTGGGGTGGACATAGGTTTTTCAGAGGGGAGAAAATCCCTGGATTGGTGGGGTTGGTGGGTTGGGTTGGTTGATTCGTCAACCAAACAACCATTAAATCATGGTTCCATAAACATTACAGCTACTCAAAATTAAATAAGCATATCATCAATTAAACTAAAAAGAACAGCAACAAAAATAATTAACAAAAGCAGGAAAGGAGAATGGGTGACTCAAGTGCTTAGTTGACCACTCTGTACATGTAATGCCTGGGATGGCCTGTCTATATAACCCTGTTTGGAGGTGTCTCTTGAAAATCCACAGTGAAAGGGCCAGGCGAATTTCAGGCTGGAGGTTATTCCAGAAATGCGGTGCAACCACAGAGAAGGCCCCGGTCCTTGTTTTCTTTTTCTGGACCTCTCCTGGGGTGAAGGATCTCAACCGTCCAGCCTGAGATGCTTGAGTGGGTCGGGCAGATCTCATTGGAAGGAGGTGTTCTGCCAAGTATTGAAGTCCCAAACCATATAGGGCTTTATAGGTTAATGTCATCACCTTGAAGCTGGCACGGAAATGGACAGGTAACCAGTGTAAGGTGGCCAGAATGGAAGAGATGTGTCTTTAAATGAGAAAAGATGGTTTGTCGTGGCCACTGGGCAAATAGATCTATCCACTGAAATTGGATTTCTTTTGAGATGTAAGGCCCAGAAAAATAAACACAGGGGGAAAGTTCCCCGTTCCTTTCCTATTACTAATGGGGTTGGGGGAAAATGAAGGAGTAGAAAGGGAATGGAAAGTAGCCTTCTGGTGCCATTCAGTGTTGTGATCCTTCTTAGCTCTACTTCGACGACAGGCAAGTGAGGCTGTTGCGCCTGCGGAATCCATGGGGCCACCGGGAGTGGAATGGCCGCTGGAGTGACAAGTGAGTGTGCCTTAAGCATGCCCCACATGGGCTGAGAGTAAGAGGCTGCAGGGGGGCATTTTCCAGCCTGGACCAGAAGGCCCCAACTTTGAATCATATCCTAACATCTGTGTTCAGAAGTCATGCTCATCCCTAAGACCAGAATGTGTGCTCCAGTTTTTGGATAACCACAGTTTTATGTTACATCCAGACCTCAAACTAGACTTAATCTTAACCATGGTTAGTGAAAACAAGCCAGATTAGTAAACTCTGGTTTGATGTTGGCTTGTTTCCACCACACTGAAGATTAATCACAGTTTGTTGGGGTCAAATGATATGACGAGCCACAGTTAATCAGAGCAGAGTGGGCAGTGACTCTAGATATGGCCTTTTTCACAGTGTGATTGTGAAATTCTCCCCCTAGGTAGGTAGTCGGTTCCATCACTGATTTTTAAAAGTTTGGCTAAAGCTGTCCTCTGTAGGGAGCCTTGGTGACAGCTTCTGTGATACTGAAGAATTGCTTCCTTGGGTCTTAAGAACACCAGAAGGACTCTAAAGCTGGGTCAGATCAAAAGCCTACATAATTCATCATTGGGGTGGCTCAGATTATTATTTTAAAAATTCAGTTTCTTAGACAGCTAGTAGCTATTTGGGCCAAAAGAGGAGCTCGCGATAACATTGTGAAATGACAGAGTCTCTCCTTTCCGCTACCTCTTTGCCCACCAGTATATATAAACATTTAATAATGACATTCCAAACTTACCTATGCATGTCCCCCATGCATGGCAGTTCCTGATCTGTCTTGTTTTATTCTTGTTTTCAGTTCACCGTTGTGGGGTGCTGTGGCCCCTGAACTCCGGGAGAAGCTGCACGTGCAAAGAAGGGATGGAGAATTTTGGTAAGGCATTTCCCTTTGAGGGAGCAACTTTTCCATGCTCTGCTTAGAACCATTATGAAGGGATCCGAGCCAAAAGCTTCAGAGACTCTTGTGCTTCCACCACCACCTTCAACAGTTTTTCCTAATAAGCAACTCTGATTGTGGGAGCACCACAGAGAAATGGGGCCACAGATACATATCACTATTCAATGCTATTTCATAACGCCTTTTTCTTTCCCTCTCATTATCCAGGATGCAGCTCATTGATTTCATACAATATTTTGACGTGCTGGAGATCTGCCATTTCAATGCTGATGCCCCAGGAGAGGGCGTTTCCTCTCGCTGGAACACAGACTGCTTCCAAGGACGCTGGGTCAAAGGTCACAGTGCTGGTGGACGTCAGACCTCCCAACCATGGGGTAATTCTCTGGACTCGGGTGTGTGATTGGGGGGGTGGGGTAGGCATAGTACTAAAGAACCTAACTCCCCTACTACAGCTTCCCAGGCTTCAAAGCAGAGGCCCAAATCCTCTTACTTAGTGATGCTGGTGTAGTACAAATGGCGTAACTTTTGGAGGCAAATTGACTTGAGCTAAGGAATCAGTGTAGGCACAATCAGTTGTATCACAACAGCAAGTTGTATCACCTAGCATGCAACTGATAATGTCTAGAGAAATTTCTTAATTTGGAGCAACTTACCACCAGAGGTTACGCCGTTTGTCTAGCTACACAAAAGGATTTGGGCCAGAGATTACTTTCCTGTAACGGGGCACTGAGAATTCTACAGACTATTATCTCCGATCATTGATCAGCGATATCAACAGGCAAAACTCATGCACCACATAAGAAACCACCATAGGCTGAACTAGGAGTTATTCAGAATTGCTACCTTTCTGTTTCCCATATCAGCGACTCTACTCATGTTGCTATTTCTTTATTCAGAATAATATTTATGTTCACAGAGATGAAGGAAGCAACATGTTCAGGGTGTTTAAGCTGCTTTAAATGGGTTAGTGTCAAAATCAGTTGTTTTTGTTGTAACTGGCTCAAAAGGCTACTTCTCTTGGGAAAACACAAACATGGGCAATTTGCCCTAAAAACAAACACCGCACATTGGTCCATATGAATTGTGACTTAAGTAGGTGATGTGTTAAATCGGTGAATAAGAAAGGGAGCAGCTGGTGAAAGAGCAGTGTAGAAAATGTCGGGGAGAGGTTATTACACCCCAAGGAAATCAATCACGATTGTCCTAGCTATCGAAGTGACACTAATACGTCTCTATGAAAATATGGAACCCTGGTGGAGTAGGGAAAGGCAAAACAAAGTAAAGATAAGATCTTGGTTCAATCATTAATCCAAATGGAGAATGCGGCCAAGAAATCAGAAGACTGAGCCTATGAAGGTCAACAATGATGGAACTGGAAAAGATCATCAAGTGCAAGGATATTTCATTGGAGACCAAGACCAAGATCAGGCCTACTCTTGTATTTCCAATCACCATGTACGAGTGTGAAAGCCGGACAGTTCAGAAAGTTGAACAGAGTGGGGAAAATGATTTGTTTGAAATGTGGTGCTAGTTAAGAAAGTTGAACAGAGTGGGGAAAACGATTTGTTTGAAATGTGATGCTGGGGGAGAGCTTTGCGGATACCTGGGGCTGCCTGAAAGAAAAGCAAGTGGGTCCTAGATCAAATCGAGCCTTTGAAAGATAAGCAAGTGGGTCGTAGATCAAATCGAGCCTGAACTGTCTCTGGAGGGGAAAATGTTGAAACAGAGGCTGCCCTACTTTGAGTACATGAAGAGAAGGCAGGATTCTTTGGAAAAGAAAACAGTACACGAAGAGAAGGCAGGATTGTCTGGAAAAGACAACAATGCTGGGAAAGGTGGAAGGCAGCAGGAAAAGAGGAAGACCGAATACGAGATGGACAGCCTCCCTAAAAGAGACCATGGGCTTGAGTCTGCAAGAGCTGAGCAGGGAAGTTGAGGACAGGGCATTTTGGAGATCACTCATTCATAAAGTCGCCATAATGACAATAACACAGACAAATTTAGTTCTTGAGCACCTTTGAGCCAAGAATAGAAAGCCTGGACAATATCTTTACTTAGGACTACAAACCCCAGAATCCTTCCACCCGGCCAGCCAAACTGCTTGGAGGAACCTGGGATGTGTAGGCCAAGGTTAGTAATATTTTCCAGGCTCTGGTCAAGTCCCTGAAGCTATTTGTCTACCCAAGTGGTTTTAGACCTGATGCTGAGACCAGCGTATTCCTTGTGGCACAGATCTCTTTTGGATCAACCCCCAGTTCCATGTTGCCCTCTTTGAGCCGGATGAGGCACAGTTAAGGAAGCAGCTGAGAAAGGGACAAGAACACAAGGCCCCCACCTGCACACTTCTGGTCTCCTTGATGCAGAAGGACCGGCGCAGAAGCAAGAACAGGGGCAAGGACTTTCTGCACATCAGTTTTCAGATCTTCCAGGTGAGTCCCATTCCCCAGAACTGATCCTGTGTTTGGTAATTAACAGTAGGACCCCCCCTGTATCCATGGGATCATATCTGTGGTTTTCCCTCATTCATGGTCTGAAAATATTAAAAGAAAAACTAAAAATATGTATTTTCATGATGTATTTACCAAATCTGGCCACTAGAAGGAACCAGAGACCATGCTATGTTTTCTGGCCACTTGATCTTTAGAAATCGGATTTTTCTTTTAATTTTTAAAAATATTTTCAGACTGTGGATAAGTGAAACAGTTAACCCCATAGATAAGGGGATCTACTATACTTCTAGCAGTCTTTACCAGAGACAAATAGTAGGGAAAGGAGAAAGGATATGTTCCTTCCTTCCTTCCTTGCCCTCCCCTTCTGACTCAGTAGAGTTTTCCCTTAGTTATAGGGTTATAAGCATCAGCTCATTTGTCTTCCTGGCATCATTGTCCTACTGATTGTCCTAACGTCAGCTTTTCCAACCTCTTTTCTCTTGCAGATACCCAGACAGGTAATAACACAAGGCGGCTTCATCTCTGTAGGAAAAAAGACACACACCCTCAACCGTGGGTATACCCAGGAGAGGCACACAAACAAACTCCTGTTCAGAATTGACTTAAAAGGGAAACTTACCTCCCCCCCCAAAACCAACCCCAAAAACCGTAGAGTGAGAGTGGGAAATGTGTAGCCCAACATATATTTGGGGGCTGTGAATCCAGTGATCCGGAGACAGTCTACCTGGCGGCACCAGGAATATCACAAACATCCTCACAACAGTTTTGTATGTATGTATGCTGTCTGTTAGCTACACTGATATCTTGCTTTCTGCCGGTGATCTTGAGATGGTGTATGCAGTTCTCCTCCCCCCACATTTTAAATCCTGAGATGTAGGTCAGCCTAGAAAGTAGTGGCTTGCTTAAGGTTATCCTTATAACTCCGTTTCATGGCTCACTGGGGACGATAACCTTGATTTCCCACACCCCAAGCCAGAATTTATAGTTGTGAGGTATGTAGCCTTTTCCACCTGACCAGTTTTCCAAAGCAGTTTATATCAAGGACTGGGAACTTGGTGTTTTATCACCTTCTAACTGCAAAGCTGGCACCTTGGGCAATTTGACCCCCCATAATGGGTTTAGACCGCCGCCTATGAAATCTTATGCCAGGTAAACGTGTTACTCTTCGAGACCCCACAGAACTCTTTGCTGTCCTTCTTCCGCAGTACCTGCAGCTCAGCAGCGCAGCCCATAGAAAGGAGATGCTCCCAGCCCTCCGGCCAGTCTGCCCTCCTTACAACGGGTCTTCGAGGGATGTCACCGGATACTTCCAGTTGCCCCCTGGGGACTACCTGATCATCCCCAGCACTCTTTCCCCCTTCGAGGAGGCAGATTTTACCCTCCGCATCTTCACAGAGAAGAAGCACCAGTTCTTGTGAGTTGCCCTTCCAAGCTGTATTTTTTGTTGTTTAGTCGTTAGGTTGTGTCTGACTCTTCGTGACCCCATTGACCACAGTATGCCAGGCCCTCCCTGTCTTCCACTGCCTCCTGGAGTTGGGTCAAATTCATGTTGGTCACTTCGATGACACTGTCCAGCCATCTCATCCTCTGTCATCCCCTTCTCCTCTTGTCCTCACACTTTCCTAACATCAGGGTCTTTTCCAGGGAGTCTTCTCTTCTCACGAGATGGCCAAAGGATTGGAGCCTCAGCTTCAGGATCTGTCCTTCCACCCAGTTGTACTAGGACCCCTATAAAGCCCTCCACATTTTCCACCCTGCAGCAGCTGAGAGTGTTCCTGTGCCCAGATCTCAAGACTGGACAAGCAAATCAGGGGGGAGGGGGGCAAGGTGGGAGTCCTCAGGCATTAGGTTTGGGGTGTGGTGAAAGTCCAACCGTTCGTTCAGCTCTGTAATTTGGTGGTCTTGTATTTTCCACAGGGAATGGGGAGAGGTGCTTATGGGGTGTCCCTACACAACAGGACTGGCTTTGAATGTGATCCTCCTCCCTTTGTGCAGTTCACTCAGGGGCATCCCGATTCCTAGGCTCCGCTTTAGGCTAACCCAGAGGCAGAACACAATGGCTATGGATTTTGACTGACCTTGAATTCAGATCGGCCCCTTTACTTGAGAGACAGAAAAATATTCACGATGCTCAAACTTGTTGGTTTATTAATGATATTACGTTCCTTTCTAGGGAGATCGATGAGGAAATCAGTGTGGAGGGCAAGGTACTGCAGGTAACAGATTGTTTCTGCCGGTATGAACATTTGAGGGTACCAGGATATGTGCCTGCCTCTGTTGTTCTGAGCAGCATCCTGAGAATCTCTGACTTCTTCAAAAATTGAGGCCGGATTGTAGCCCTCAAGGGTGATGCTAAAGATTTGGCTGCAAGGAAGTAAGAAGGACATTTGGGGTGAGGAGAGCAGGGCTTGATGGAAAATTGGGGAGAAAGCCCTCAACTCCCCCTAAAGCAGTTCATGGAAACCAGTCTGGGAATTTTTTTTTGACCCCTCCTGAGTGCTGCAGGATCCAGGAACTGCTTAAAATTAAACTTGTGTTCTTCTCTAATGCTCAGAAGGAGAGTAGCAGGATTCAGGGGAAAGGGTGCCTGGGGGGGGGAAGAGTGTTTCCACATCTAGAAGATATTTCTCCTAAAAGAGGTGCATGGGGTAGGTGCCAGATCTATAAATTTCCCTCAACCTTCTCTTTTGTCCTCAGGTAATGAAAGCACCACAGATTGGGTCAGACCAAGACCTTGAAGAAATCTTCTTGAAGTATGCAGGGCAGGTAAGAGATTTTAAGGAAATTCAAGTTCAGGGAAATTGGATATGTTAGGGAGGGAACTTGGGCCCTTCCAATTTTCTGAAAGACTACAACCCCCAGGCTGGTTAGGACATCTGGGAACTGAAGCCCCAAACCTATGAAAGGCCAACGTTTTCCCACCACTGGCTCAACCTCTTTGGTTTATGAACTGATTACATATTTCACAGCTGGAAAGGCTCAGCATCCACCACACTGTCATTTCGGAAAACCTTTGGCAAAGGAGAGATATGTCTTGGGAGGCATCTGGCTACAGCCGAGTGGCATCAGAAAACCCATGGCTATCAGCCTTGACAGAGGCCCAGGGTGATGGTAGAAAAATGGACACGATCCACAGACGGAGAGGAGGAGAAGACAAATGAGACATCCCTGGAAAAAACTGGAATGGCCATGGAGTTCTTGCACACACTCAAAAGGCAGGAGTGGTTGGTACTTTTATCAGACCACTAAAAAAATTCACAAACGGAATCTAGCTTGCAACTCCACATGGGTCTTCATTAGGCTGGGCACTGTGGACATGCGGATGATACCAAAGCAACATAAATATCCAAGAAACCATGGCCAGATCTGTGTGCCAGGTGGCTTTGTTGAAAGCCCATTTCAGTGGACACGGCCCCCCTTAGTGCAAGGTTTTAAGCTGAGTGTTAGCCCCCACCTTTGTTGAGAGGGGAAAAAATGTCGGCAAATTTCATGGCCGTGTTTATCTATTCGTTTAGGACCAGGAAGTGGGCCCGGCTGAACTCCAGGCTATTCTGAATCAGAATGCAACCAAAAGTGAGTAGGACTTCCAAGTGGGTCTCTCCGGCTTTCACTGCTTGGGTCCTACCAATCCTTCTGTTCAACAACCTGGCAGTCAGTTTGATGCAAATAGTAAGCTCCCCTGTCCAAGAAGTCTTTATATATCAACAAGTGTTCATTACATGTATTTATCATTGACGGCAAGTTCTAAGACCAATCCTAACCATCAGGTCATGCTAGCTAGGGTTTACCAGAGGAGCATTTGACCAATGTCTGGATGGAGCTTTGTGACACAGTGACTGAACTGCAGTACTGCAGTCAAGACTCTGCTTATGACCTGAGGTTGATCCCCAGCTCATGTAGCCAGCTCATGGATGATTCAGATTCCCACCCCTCTGAGGCCAGTCAACTGAGTATCCTGGTGGCGGGGGGGGCTGGCTCGTGGAGGCAATGTGTAGCCTACATAATTAAATTGCAAACTGCCCAGAGTTTTAAGTGCCATGGGGTGGTATACGAGCCACACATCTTGCTTTGCTTTTTCCCCTCAACTTTCTGTCTCCCTAAAGTTTTGGATTTTTATTGCCAGACATCCCAGCTGACATGTCCAATGGTGAGGGATTCTCAAGAGGTGACATACAAAACATGGGGAGGTCAAAGTTTGGGGAGTACCATTTTTTAAATAAGAATTTTAAATACAGAAAGACTGGGGTCACCTGATTTCTCTCTCTTTTTTCCAGTTCCATATCTGAAAATGGAGGGCTTCACTGTGGAAGAATGCCAGAGACTCATCCAGCATTTTAATGTATCCTTCTGGAGTGAGAATGAATTAGACATCAAGAGATGTGGATGATGGGGAGGGATATGGAAACCAAAGGAAATTGGTTCAAGGGGATGGGGCCCATCCACCCTAGAGGAGACCAGTTCTAAAGCTAAACAAACAGACATGACACAAACTCTCAACTGTTGAACTAGTTTTCAGGAGAAGCAAAAAGGCCTTTTCAAGGGGCGGCCTGGGAAGGAAATAGTTGGCCGCTCTCTAACCTCCCACCAGCGATTCTGGTCTTTCTCCTCCACCCTTTCCAATGCCTTCCACTTCCAGCCACAGAAACATGTGTTCGCGTAAAGGGAGATCTTATTTCTTCAGCCACACAAAAGGCACCGAGGGGTGTGAAGAGGAATTGTGTGTCCCTAAGCACCGGGATACAGAACATACTTTTCCTTAACTGTTCTGTAGCTGGGCAGCAGGAGTGATAAGCTGACACTACAGATGTTTCAGCACTTATGTGCAAGTCTGCAGGAATGGGAGGTGAGTGTCTGGCCTGGAAATCAGTGAGGCAACAACGGTAGGTATGGGAGGATAGATACAAAACCCCTGGGCCATCACCTGATTCTTGATATCTTGATTTCTAGGTGGTTCTTGATATCAACAACCGGACCAGTGGCTCCCCAACTTCTCTCTCCAGATGTTCTTGGACTAAAACTCCCAGAAGCCTTTGCCCCCAGCTGTGCTGCCCAGGTTTTTTGGGAGTTGCCGTCCAAGAACATCTGGGGAGCCAAGGTTGGGAACCACTGATTTAGAAGGACGAAGGTGTTGATGGGCTGAGCGGGCCGATCCAAGCAATCAGATTCCTTGTTGCCTTTTAGGAAAGCCCAGAATTTGGGAAAGAGGCTCCAGTTGTAGAAGGGGTAGCCGTGCTCATCTCACGAGCCACCTTGGGGGGGGGAGCTTGCCTGGAGAGGCACAAATATCCGAGATAGCGGGATGGGGGAGGAACTAAAATGAGACGCAGCAGGTCTTTGTGGGCATTTCAGGTCGTTACGATGCTAATCTCCCTTGTGTACTTGGCAGCGTATCTTCAGGATTTACGACGTGGACAGATCTGGCACCATGAACACGCACGAAATGCGGCTGGCCCTGGAAGCTGCAGGTGAGGAGCCACGCGGACTGCCGAGGGCCTAACGTGGTTCATGGTGGAGTCACATGTTTTTTTTTCCAAAGCCTTTCAGATGTGTCAAAATGGACATGGGGTTCTTGGTGAAGGGTGCTTTGGAGGGTTTCTTTCACCAGTGGTGGAAGCGGGTCAAAGGAGAAGACAAGGCCATGGTTTTCTCGATGGTGGAGGCTCCATCGACCGGGAGAGTCCGATGCTCCCCTTGATGAGTTTAAGTCTAGAGAGCTGCTCCTTGAGACACGGAGTGGTGCTCAGGAGTGAGAACGGTTCTGTGTATGCCATGTATGACGATTCAGGGCGCTTGTAGCTGAGAGTTATTCATTCAGCAACATCCCGAGACCTAAGGCCGGGGAAATAATGGTTGGGCATCTGAAGATTTGAAACCTGCCACAGGGGTGGGTGCTTCCCATAGCTGAAGAAACACAAAGGCAAGTGTTCCTCAATGTGCAGAATTCGTTAAGGTCTTTGTAGGATCTGGCTTTGGATAGACGGCTAAAAAGCCCTCGATCTACTCAACCTGCTGTGTCTGCTTTTGCACAGGATTCCACTTAAATAAGCCGACGATGGAAGCCTTCATGAAAAAATACAGCAATCCTTGGCTCCAGATAGACTTCAAGAGATTTGTGTTCTTCATGGAGCACCTAAAAAGTGTTTTCTGTAAGAGCATCCTCTTCTCTCCAGTATTCTCATTCTCGTCATCATCATTATCACACGTGTGCGCCCTTCCCTGAGTTACATGTGAAATCTAAAGCTGCCAGGTCCTTTGACATTAAAAAAATAACCCTGCCATGCCCGCAACTTAGCTATGAGTCACAGTTACAATTCCTTTTCAAAAATATCTTTGCTGTAACCATATCATGGTTATAATCTTGAGCAGGGATAAATTCACTTATTTTATGGACTAATTCTTAACTTTTAAGTTATTTTTATGTGGGAGAGGGGCTCAATACAGAGTGGTGGATACGTAGACCCTTGGAAGCTCTGCTTCACTTTATAGCATTCAATTTTTTTTCCTAAAAGCAATTTACATCTATTGATTAATTGATTGATCGATTCAAAATATCTTTTCCCTGCCTTTCTCCTTTAAAAAGGGCCAAAAGCAACCCACATCAATTAAAAGGCAATATTTAAAGCTAGGAACATGAGTCATACAAAGGTGTCTCACATGTTAAAAGACAAAATCTAAAGACATTGTTCTAATGACTCTGAGATACAGGCAAGTAAATAGTGACTTTGTGAAATAGCACAAACATTGCAAGGACGAACCTCCTTGTAAGGTGTTAGAATTGTTAGCAATTAACGATGCTTAACGTGACTTCCTTAGGCTCTGGTATAGCCTATGGGGAAAAAAATCTACCATTGAATGGATCAGGTGTTGTAGGAAGGAATCAGGTCTTAAATAATCTAAGGGCTTTCTTGACATGACAAAGCACCTGTCGCCTTTTACCAGGTATGTGCAAAAGCCGGGATACCAGTGGCAGTGGAGTGCTGAACATGACTGAGAAAGAGGTGAGGAAAAAGCACTTGCTTCCAGTTCCCACAATTAAATCTGGATACATCTTTCCCAAAGACTTAATCCACCTGGCCCTCCCTCCGGGGTCAGCATGGTTTTCCTTTCAAGTCTTGAATTCTCCGTTATGAAAATCGGCCTGCATAAAGTATCTCCAACACTGCTTCTTACCCTTTGGGTCAAATACATCACAACAGCTCGTGTGTGGTCTTAGAAGAAGAAAAATGGTTAGGGTTTCCACCATGTCATACCTTCCCAGCATCTTGTCTAAGCAGTCAGAATTCAAATTAGGCTGGTGAGATGTTTAGCTTCTGATGATCCATGATAAAACAAAGCAAGCTAATTTATGAGCTGCAAATATCAGAAAAGCTTAGGGGAAGAAATACTGGGTATTTTTAACAATTGCAGAATGACTGTTTCTTACAATGAGCTCTCCAGCACCTAAATCAGCCCTCATTTCTGTGCTGGATAGCTCAGTGGTTTAGGTACCTAGTTGCAGGGCCAGAGGTTAGGAGTTCGATTCCCCACTGTGCCTCCTTGACAGGGGCTGGACTGATGATCGAGAGGGTCCCTTCCAGCTCTGCAGTTCTAAGATTAGTATTATGAGATCAACAGGGAAACCAAATAAGCAACAAAACTCACCTGGATGCATTTCTGTTTTTCAGTGGATGGAGCTTGCCACTGACTACTGATTTACAAGAAGCAACCCAACCACCTTCTCCTCTTTTGATCATCTGTGGAGGACTGTAATCTGCTGTAACTCAGAAGCATTGAAAGAGATTTCCACATTACTTAACCTTCTTAATTCTGCAAGAAACATCCACATTCCGCAATCAGAATTAATCAAGCAGCACTAAAGAAAAGCAGCTACCTTTTTGATTGTATAATGCAAGAAGTGATTAAAATTAATAAATTATGTATAAAAATTAATAAATATTAAAATTATAACAATAGAATATTCATTATGATTACAGCTGAAAATAAATCAATGTAATTTGCACAGGAATATCAAATGGATGAAATTATTTAAATGTTCTTGCACACACTAAATAAAGATGGAACAAAATTATTTTATAGTCCTGTTACTTCTGTTCTGAATTCTGAAGTTCAGTGTGACCTATGCTCATTCTTACTATTTCAGGTCCCACTTATTTTAATGGCATTGGATCTGGATTCAACCCACTGAATTGGATCTAGACTTACTGGTTTCTTTTTAGAACCAAACCATGACATCAGCAATCCATACACTGTAGCTACATTCCAGTGTGAACGTGCCATGAGAATACAGCGATCCTGTTTGTTTTAACTTCATAGCTTAATTTTCATGCCCGCTTTCAGTGGATGTACGTTGAGTCTGGATTCCACCCAGTAGACTTCAAATGTAAGGTAAAGGTAAAGGTTCCCCTTGACCATTTTTGTCCAGTCGTGTCCGACTCTAGGGGGTGGTGCTCATCCCCGTATCCAAGCCATAGAGCCAGCGTTTTTGTCCGAAGACAATCTTCCATGGTCACATGGCCAGTGCGACTTAGACACGGAACGCTGTTTACCTTCCCACCGAGGTGGTCCCTATTTATCTACTAGCATTTGCATGCTTTCAAACCGCTAGGTTGGCGGGAGCTGGGACAAGCGACGGGAGCTCACTCCGTCGCGTGGATTCGATCTTACGACTGCTTGGTCTTCTGACCCTGCAACACAGGCTTCTGCGGTTTAGCCCGCAGCGCCACCACGTCCCTTAGACTTCAAATGTAGGTGGTACATTTTTTAATTCTAGGATGACATCTGTAAATTCTAGAAACCTCATACTGCCTTTCAAAATAAGGACATGTATTGACCCTTTAATTAAGAACATTGATTGCTAAGAAACAATAATTTCATTCCTCTGTCCTCTCCTTTAAAGTTAGAAGAATGTAGAATGACAGATCAAAGCTTCTCATGCCACCCTGTGGCATGCAGAGGAAAAACATTGAGAAGACCAATAGAAGTCAATTGAAGTTAATTATGACTGTTTCACCTCCCATTTATTTCAGCGAGCCTATTCTTTCAATGATTCTGCATTGGGTGTATTTTGTGGAGGAAACTGGCCATCAGCAGCCGGCTAAGAAAGGACATAATCTTGAGTTTGAGAGTCCAAAAGAGATGCATCATTTCCAATTAACTGGCTCTCCTTCTTTGGAAAATCTCTAGAGATATTATGAGCCTGGAACTCTGATTTCAAAAGTCAAAGTTTTTGACTTGAAGCCCCCATGTGCAGTGATCATGCCGGCTTGGGGATTTCAGAGGCTGTATTCACCAAAAGTACTGTGTTTCCCCCAAAATAAGACAGGGTCTTATATTAATTTTTACTCCAAAAACCGCATAAGGGCTTATTTTCAGGGGATTTTTTTTCCATGTACAACAATCTACATTAATTCAAATACATTAATGTCATCTTCTTCTAGTTGCTGCATAATGGTGGAGGGCAGGGTTTCGCTTAACTGGGGCTTATTTTTGGGTAGGGCTTATATTACGAGCATCTTGAAAAATCATACTAGGTCTTATTTTTGGGAAAACAGGGTAACGTTTTCCTAGCTCCCCATCAAAGCACGCAAGAGGCTGCTGGTGTTGATTCATCTTTGTCTTCACTGAAGATCACTGGAACCAGAATGTGGATCAGTTCTATCCCCACCACCCAAATGACAAGGGTGTGAAATCTGCCGGATTATTTTTAGAAAATAATCTCTTTTTCTTGTTTGCCTTCGTGCTCCTTCTGGTGATAGAAAGAGCAGAAACCATGGAACAATAAATAACATTTGATTATCCTTGGACTGCCCTGGTGCAGCACTGTTTGTGGGATAATAGAAGCAAGACATTGGCCACTGGGGGACCGTTAACTTCCACCTCGGCTGTTGGCTGAAAAAAATCAGACAGCCCTGCTTTCTGTCCATTACAGGACAAATGGCACAACAGGGTAATACACTAGAAGCCAGAACTCCAAAAATATGTCTCGTTAGTGAAAATCAATAGTTACTTGTTCGTTTGTTTCTTATCTTGCCCTCTCCCCATGCTTAACAAAGCAAAGCAAAGCAAAACTGTAAAACTTTGCTTTATATCAACGTTTCAAACTCAACTGAGGAGAAATCCTCCTGAAATAATTTATGACCCTTCTGAACAAGAGGCAAAACATTAAAAAAAGAGAAAACATTGCAATTATATCCATGGAAAGGCGCTCACCAGGACCTTTAATTTTTGACCCGAATGCATGGCAAAGTGGATGTGGAATAAGGCAAACCTCCAGAAGTCTTGGTTCCTGGATTATTTAGGTTTTAAAGGACAAAAATTAACACTTTCCACTTGGGTTCTACATGAGTTTTGATACTGCCTTAGTGCTTCATCACAAGAACTGAAGTGATTGTTGGACCTTGTAAGATGGGAATTACAGTAGTTAGCTACCGCAATGAGGCTTCCCTGAAGGATGATAAAGTCGTAGTAATTATACTTTATTTTGAGAATGGGAGTCTCCACACAATTTTCCTCCTCAAGATTCAAAATTGCGTGTTTGACTCTGAGTCTGTGCAAAAACAAGGCTTAAGGGTATGTCCAGGTCCAGAAATCTGGGCCAGTGCTTAGCTCCACACCTGGATGTGTAATAAATGTAAGTTCTATCCAGGGCTCAGAAAGGGAACAGGGCTGCTACTCCATAACACACCTTTTCCAAGCTCTGCTGAAGCCAATCAGATGTTCTCAATCTAGGTTTTAAAAATGTGAACATGGGAACATACATTAATCTATTGCACTCCTGGGACATTTTGCACATGAGCAGAAAAACTATCTCGGTTGAATATTTCATCTTTATCCTTCAAAATGTCAGTCTCCATACGAAGAATGCAGAGGAAAGGCCAAAGTTAGCACACTTTGCTCGTAGGTTTGTTTAACTTATCTATTGCTTATGCCAATTAAGCTCAATTATTAGCTAGAAGAAATCATTAGACAGAAAAAAATATTTCTTCAGATTCCTCAGGCAGCCAGCTGCCAAAAGAAGGAATTTCTTCACAACGTTAAATTCCCTTCTAAGAAAAGTGGCGACATCAAGGCAGATGAGAAAGCAAGATATCCAGGAAGCGGGAGATAAAGCCTGTGGAATAAGATGTCCTTCTGTCCACTCTCTCTGGGAATGTTTGAGATATCCTCAGCCATTCTGGAACTATGGAACTCCTCTTATGGAGACTTGCAGGAAATAACCAAGGAGTCCTGGTTTCTTTTACACCTCTTCACTCCAATGCACCAGATGACCTTCCCTTATCACAACTTCCATCTTAAGCAGAGAAGTGCAAATAGCTTCTAGATGGAGGACTGGCCGAAACATCACCCAGCATGTTGACATATCCTTCTGCAGAGCCATACTTAAGGCGATGGGTCCAAACAGCCTAAGTGTCAGTATCAGACCTCCCAGGAAGCACCAATCTTTGAAAAAGAAGACCACGTTTGCTTGAGGAAGTTGCAAATGTACATGCAGAGAGGCACCTGTGTAAGCGTTCAAGTAGACTTATGATCAACTGGAAGCTCTGGTGACGAACAGATCCTATACCTGATGGCCCTTCACTTCCCAATCAAGGGGGCACAGTGGCCTTTAAAGCCACGGGATTGCCCCTTAAAAGGAAGCCACCACCTTTTGGGGCATTATTCCATTTCAGGGTCTCCAAATTCCGAACAGCAAGCCTGGCTTTTCTTCAGCTAAGTCCAAGAAAGAAGAATAGGGAAGCTGGCTCAGCAAAGCAATCCTGGGATGGGATCAAGGAGTGGGGGTGCCGGCACTGCAAAGAGTGGGCTATGGGGGAGTCTGAGGGTTGAGGCCACGCAGATCACAACCAAGACTAGTGGCCACACCACCCACAGCAGCATGGTGTCTTTGGCTGGGACGCTTACCTTTTGTAGCAGTGCTCAGTGGTACCCACACCTCTGAAGCTGGAGTGGGTATTCTACATTGGCAAGCGAAAGGTTAGAGCATCCTTAGCCTACACTCAGTCTCAAGCCTGGGGGTCACTTCTTTTTAGTAGGGCTACTTCCTCATAAGTCGATTTGTAGAAAACCTACTGTTTCACTTTGCCCCTGTGAAGCAGACCAGGATTATTGCCTCTGTACTGCAGCCAGGAAGGCTGAGGCTGAGAAAAGCAAAGGCTTTTTAGAAGCCACCCAATGAGCACACCAGTGGGATAAGATTTGCACTCAGGACTTCATACTTTGGAGAAGCGTAATTAAAAGGGATAGGAGCAAGGTAGGGTGGTAAAGTTCAGTGGTACGTGGGCTCGATGACAAAAAGGCTCGCTGAAATTCTTTTATAGGACAGCTCTTAGTGTGATTTGGGCTATATGCCTTAACAATGAGGGCTATATGTTCTCTGCCATTCTCAATGTTCCCTGTCAAAAACCAGGTTTCTAGTCCTGAAATCTGCAAACTGTTGGCTCTGTTTCAGAAGAGGGAAGTGCTAAACCATACAAGATGCCAGCTCCATAGTTAAAAACAAAAGTTCCTTAAGAAGTCAAGGATGCTTCTTTTTCCTCTCAGGAGGCCCAAGCCGCAAAGTGGCTTGCTCTCGTTTGGCGATTTCTCATCGGCAGATGAGCTTTTGGAAGGAATGCAGATGCTCAAAAGGGATGGGAACCGTTTTATTATTTTGTAACTGTGAAGCTAGTTTCTTGGCCTGAAGATTTAGAGGGTAAGCAACCTGTTTAGTTTTTTGCTTCTCCGTGACTAGCTGAAATAGAATACAGTTAGCAAAGACACATACTTCCAGCTTGCAGAATTGATGCAGGTCTCCACAATTCAGTTCTTCTTGGCTCCAAAATATGATTTTTCTGGAACTGCTACTATTGCTTTATCTGTTTTAACTCAGGCGACTGAGGAAAA